CCCTGGTTCGAACCTGGGTTTCAGCAGGTGTAGGTCCCAGTTTTGATAAAACTTTGCTGTGATGGTTAGAGAAGTTGAAATCTATCTAACTCAGATGTTAAAAGAAAAAGATCCTCAAATGTTATGTGAAAGAGCAAGATGATGTATAAATATAATAAAGATTTGTATTATTTATGGGAGTAGGGTGGTGTGCGAGGAATTGATTCAAAATAAACAGTGCGTACATTGACTGTTTTAATAGAGAGGACTCAAATATCATAATTTGGTTACACAGACTATACTTGTTAGTAGAATCAGATCTTTGTCGATTTTGGGGTTTTCATTTTTCGAAAAAAAGTAGAAAGAAAACCAAAGCAGCCTGATAAGAACCATGTTGTTTCTCCATCTGTGGTTGTTACCCAGGTCCCCGGGCAGGAAACACTGTATGTACAGAAAGCCCTCATAAATAACTGATAGAGTCTTCCCAGGCAGTATGTACCGCTATTCTTCACCCACCCACAAATGGCATGACCTACTGCCAACAGCATGAAACGCACTGAAGAACACGCTCGTCTTTTGGAGCTAAGTGGGGAAAGCCCCATTTCTTGAAGTACGGGTCAAGAGCTAACATGATCATGGGAGGGGTATTCCTCGAGTTTTACCAAGATAGATAAAGAATAGAAGATGTTCAGAAAAAAAATACTTTTTCCTTACTACAAAAAAAGAATCTAAAAACCAGACCAGACCAGATCAATCACTATAATAATATTGCCGTCTGCAGAGTCAGAACATATGATATGATAGTTTCAACTGGGTGAATTCTGGCATCTTAGTGTTGAAAAGTTGTCTCTCCAACTTCTGGGTCAGACAAATATCTTAGTTTGACATAGCAGACAGTTCTACATGTCATTAAAAATACTCGGCACCAAACAAGGCCAAAAAGCCTCTGAAGAGCAGCCTTTTGGAGCGTAGGTGTCCTTAATGTCCCTGCGTGAACCAGAGTGAATAATACGAGGCTGGGGAGGCATCGCACAATATTACTCTGCTGTCAGTGAGCGTGAATAGTGGGGCAGGTATTGAAACAACACACACAAAATCCCCTGCGGATAATCTCCCTGGCTTACTGTGGGTGAGGCAGTTTGTGGGTGACCCGCTCCATGACCTCGTACAGTAAAAACAAAAAGGCCAGACTGACAAGGGACATCACAACTAGCAACATTTGGGCCTTCATATCGACACTGACACTGTTTCTACCTTAATGTTTGTATGAAGTGAGATAAATTGTCAGAAATCCTGAATCACAACAATAACATTTTAGACAATTTGCTTGTAAGAGTGTCTCACTTTCTCACACTCAAATTTAATATAAATACCTCAATTTTGTTGCATTTAAGTTCAATTATATTTTAGGTTTTCTAATAACTTCTAACTAAATTCCAGTTACCACATAGGATTTGTGAGGAGGGGGAGGCCTTGTCCTGTCCAATGTTTGAGCAACGTGAGACAGTCTCTGAAAGTGGATGTTTGAGGATGAAAGAGCTGGCAATGCGGTGGTAGTGAAGCTCAGACTGGGTGTGATTTGGTTATCAGGAGGTGAACAGCACCATTTAACCCCTGATCACGAGTTTATTATCATCCGGTGTGTGCTGCTGTAATTTGTAAACAGTAAAATGAGAATTGAAATGAATACTACCAAATTTTTTTAACTACACTTAATTGTGACTCAGTTAGTGGATCTTTGAGCTCTGTCAAAATCTTTGCAGCTTCATAGCTTTGCTCATACTTTAATGAAAACAACAAAAGGATTAAATGATTTGAGTTTTCCGTTCTGCTTTATATTAGCTCTTTGTTTTGGTTGTAAGTTGTTACCAACAAACTCTAATCCAACCAAGCTTATTCCCGTACAACCAGCAGCCCCTTTTACCCCCAAAAAGCTCTGTATGCTAACTGCCCAGCAACAGTTAACAGCATAACTGTGTTGTTTGTATTCATGCATGACCCAATTTGTAATTTCTTTGTTGAATTAAAATGAATGGAAAACACATGTTGACATTACTGGATGACCTGAAGCAGCATACATGTGTGCTTTGGTGTAGATTTACCCCTTTTCATAAATGGGAAAAACAAAAAAGAGAGAAATGAATAAAGAAGAAAGACAATTTAAGTGTAAAATGGACTTTATCACATTCACATTGCAATAAATCTCAATTTGATAACTTTATATGATACACGAGGGGGGTGATGTACACATGTTCCTTCAGTACATTAATTAATGCGATTCAGAGTGTTCTGTATACACACACATATACTTGTTTACAACAGCTGGTAAATACTGTTTAAAAGTTTTCCAGAAGAAAAATGCTTTTAACAACAAACTCAACTCGGAGAAAAAAAAAAAGTGTCCCAACACACATACACACACACACACACATATTGAAATATACTTGCAAGACTGCATTTGATCCAAAAAGATTTGCCCTGAAATGCTACAAGACTGCTTTGATTGAAATGATGTACCATGTGAGCGGGGGGAAAAGGGACAATCTTTTTGAATTCCAGTTTTTGTTTGTGTTACACAAGACTGCAGGTAAATAAATCTTCCAGCAGTAAATAGTCTGATGGCTTAAACGCGTCTTGAGTGGAATATTTAACCGAATGAGTTCAAGACCAGAAGCGCTGATTTACTACCATGAGTGGGTACTAACATAATACCAGTTTGTTTTAATCTCTGTGCTCTATCAGAGGTGTCATATTATTTAACGCTTTTAGCATCGTGAAGGTTAGTGAGCTGACTTTGGGTGTGCAAATGTAAATATTCTACTAAAGTGACACGCTCTGAAATAACAGTGAAATGAAGATGGCTGACAGTCTTTAAAGAAGCAACATAGCACAGCTAACAGCAGCCTACTGCAAACCCTGAATCCACTGCAAGTTTCTTGTTTTGGTCATTACTCACTGAAAAGACGTAGTACCGTTAGTTTTTTTTTTTTAAATCTAAATGAGTTCATGGAGAGATTTAACATTTTGAAGACACATGATAAAACTTTAAAAACTACAAGTCTCTGAAACGTAAAAAGTGTGTGTATTAATTTTCCCCAAGTACTGACTTTCATCCAATATGGACCTAAAGAAAAATGAATCTAAAAAATAAAAACACATCCAAGGCATCAGAAATATAGCGAGACACCATGAACAGACAATTCCAAATATCAACCCGAATATCTGAGCATCATTTGAAGCATACATCATGTCTTACCAACATAAAAAAATATGGAGTGTACAGGACATTAATAGCTATTTGTGATTCTGTATTTACACTTCATAATGAATCTCTGAAAAACATTTTTTCCAAATCCACGAAGCACAGATCAGGTCAGGTGACTCTTCATCAGAATAAAAATAAGTGGATTTCTCAATCATAATAATTTCACCTATAATTCTCTAATACTATCTTGAAAAAAAATACAATAATGCATTCAATGAAAATGTTCCAGGTGGATAATCATTCTTTCTTCACACAGTCTCTCTTTCTCTCTCTCTCTGCTGCTCGGTCGGTCTGTCAGTCACCACAACACACACACACACAACACAACACACACACACACACCAACACACACACACACACACAACACACACACACCACACACACACACACACACACACACACACACACACACACACACACAACACACACCAAACAACGTTTTGTTTAGAAAAAGACCATTTTTGAGTGGTTAACCAACAGACGGTGAGCCGACAGATGGCGTGTAAACTCTGCTACAGCACAGCCAGCATCTCCTTGCCCCTCGTTCACTCTTTCTGATGAGAAGGGAGACTCATCTTGGCGGTCACTGGGACATTCAGCTTCGTTCTGTGCACCAAGATCCCATGCCAGCACAAACTTAATCAAATGAGCATACCGGGCAGTGGCGTGTCCAGCTTAGCACTCGGACAAGGCAACGTCG